GATTGAAATATGAGTGTTAGTCATTTTTGCCTAGTGGAATTTAAAATTCCACTATAGTGGAGATTAAAATTTTATTCTCCACTAGTTGAACTTAAAATTTCAATTTCCACTGGATTCTTGTCAGTGGCAATTGAAATTTTAAACTCCACTAGTGAAGATTGAAATTTTAATTTCCACTAGTGGAATTTTAAATTCCACTGTAACATATATTTTGATTGAGTGTGAGGGTGAACATACATACTTGGATATGACTTAATCTCTTCGTCGTTTTTTATGCCGGCACATGATGTATCACATTGCTTCTGATGGGTGATATATCGTCATTGGAATTTTCACATCACACTATACAATGACATTATCAAAATGCGTTAGTGTGTGCCATACATATATATAGGTTTGTTTTTCTATTGTTTTTCTGTATCAGAGCCATATTCACTGTAGTATTTCTTATCTTCCGACGATTCTACTAATAAACGTACACATGTACAAACAAGTAAGTGAGTAACATTCAATATACACTACAAAATTTACAGATTACTAAAGTATTTTCGATTGTGACTTCAAGACCAAATTTCTAAGGTAACTTTGTTAAAAATACACCTTTCTTAAAGAATATTTCTAACCTATCCTATTTACATTAGGAATACTGCAAAATGCCACTAAACCAAAAACCCTGGTGGACCTCTCGCTGACATTATGTGCGAATACAGGATCTTGTTCGTAATTTGTTTTAAAACACAATTCCTACAGAGAAGAAATGAAGTGTGAATATTTGAATTATCTATCAGACTTAATTGCTCACTTGAACTTTACGTTATATATTATTACGTAATATTATTTTGTAAATGGAAAAAGCAACCCGACATTGTTGAAGGATTGTTGTCGTTGTAAAACACCTCCAAATGCATTAATGGCAGCTCTCTCAAAATCCATCATTATGGATTTGGGATTCCATCATTATGGATTTGGGATTCCATAGTGGACAAAGTTCTGCTAATTCATTAATAAGACGTTGATATGTTTGCTGATTCTTATTTGGTAATAATGCAAATACAGCTGGTATAACAGCGTTCCGATAAGCCACATGCATAGTATATAATTGATAGAAAACCGTTGGTGTTACCTAAACGGTTTAATCCGTTTAAAAAGACTATATATAAAAACGAAGAAAAAAAATACTGACCTTAAATGTGCCATCGACTAATAATTCTTCACAATTGTCCAGTAGCTGTAATTGATCAACAGATGAAAAGATCAATAAGCGATCATTACCAGGTCCAGAATCAAATTGTAGAAATTTACTATTGCGTTTCGTTGTTGCTAATT